TTAAAAAAAACCCAAATTATTTAGTATTACATAGATTTACAACTCAAAAACTTTTTAATAACACAAGCAATCTGATAGGACAACACTAAGAAAAGGGGCACTTGAAGCATCCATGTTCACTTCCGAAAAGTTAATAAAGAGGGACATTTTGGCTAAGGGATTACCCTGGCATTTATGCCCACCTAATTTACCAATATATATATGATGACACCTTTATCCACTAATAAGATTTAACTCTACCTTTTTCTTGTGCAGCAACAATGAAAAGAATTTGATCTCCAAGATCATCATTATTGAAGTACCTACGATATTGTCCATAGCAACAACCCAGTTAAAAGAATGACCAATTCTCTTCAATCATCATTTTGGTGACCCTTGTGGATGGAAGAGATGACAATATTAAAAAGATTCCTCCTACTTTTATAAATTCATTGAATCCAATGGTCAAAAAACAAAATATCCCATAGGGGTAGTTCTCTTAGGAGAGGATCTACCGACTTGTATTATGTTATAAATAGATCTAATCAATAACTCAATAATTTAATTGAATTTAAAACTTCTCAAAATTTTAACTGAATAACCTGTTAAAATTCTCAATTTACTCTTCTCTAGAATCTAACTCTTTTACTCTGGCGCCACACAGATAATATTGAAGATCCGAGATCATGATGTTTGGTAGAACATGGAGGTGCATGATTAACATGTGCGTGAAGAACATCGATTCATGAATATCCTAAAAGGGGCCATATGTGTGGGGGCAGATTCCATGTGCATTGTATCTGTAGATTTAAGACACTAAATTCAGGCGCGGAAAAGGTGCAAAATCCTTCTGCTAGTTTTGTTCAGGGTCCCAGTTTAAGATCTCTTTGCTTCATGTCTCTGAGGCAGTTCTGCCCTCGGGAAAGAGGCACAGCTAAAGGTTAGGTGCCCAGAACTAATTGCCTCTTCCTAGTCTACCCTAGTGAAGTAGTGAACATCACATCCTTAATTCCTCTTACTAATTTAAATGTATGAAAGAAAGAGTCACACTAATGTTTTCATTTTGTGAAGTTATAATATTATGTTAAATGCTTTAAAAAGTGTATTTATTATATATATATATATATTTTTTTTTATTCACCTCCCTTAGTGATATATATGAATTAAATATAAAGTATTTTAGTTTTATAATTAATAGTTATTTAATAAGTTGTATTCAAATACTACTTGAAAATAAAAAAAAAATTCCCTTTACATGGAACGAACTCTATATTTGAAATGGGAGTGCCACATGCACTTGGTAATTGGCCGACTATCCTTTTTTTTATTTAAAAAAAGAAGAAAAAGGAAAAGAGAAAATATGTACAAAGGCCCCAGTGCAAACTACACTTGACATTTTGCATTTGCATTTGAAATTTGATGAATATCTTTCATTATCAATAAGATTTTCTTGTCCTTTGAAAATTTGAATGCACTGAAGTCTGAAGAAATGAGTTTTCTACTTCAAAAATGAGTGACTGTTTATTGAGCACTATGGTTCTGTGAACAATTCTCCCTGGGTACACAAGCAGAGAGGTGAGTGCGCTTGCATGCACCCACATTCACATACAGACTCGTGATAATGAGAGATGTACACCTGCACATTCCCTCGTCCTAGTCGACATGATAGCAAAAGATTAAAGCTTCAATAGTAGTAACCAATAACAGTGTGTAGCATACAAGGAAATATTAACATGGCTAGTAGTGGCCCCCTTGCCTGCCTCATAATCATGCAATTTTTGGCTCTGTTTTGCCTCGTTTCTGACTCTAGTTTTTTGTTTTGATTCTTTTAAATTTAGCCACTAATACTGCATTTAGGGAACCTGAATTTCTGTATATGGTATTAGTTAATATATATAGACATACACACAAGTGCACGATACTAAACGGAGTTGTTTTAGATAACAAGATAAAAGTCTGGAAAACTGGAAAGACGGTAAGAAGCATTACAGAGAGAGAGACACATGACTGTATGCTGATTCAGGTGCAAATTCTTGCCTAACAACTACAAAATTGGTGACTTTTCAAATGGGTAATCTCTTTTTCTTGCATGGTGAGACTATAGCAAAATCTGGGCATCACAAACAACTACCAGTCTGGAAGCTTTTGCAGTAAAAATAAGATCTTGTCTATGGTATATTTGAAGACTCATCTATTAAAGAACGCAGCTGCCCACGAAATGTGGAAATATTTTCTGCCTTGACAGCCATGACAAGGCCTGTTAACTGGTAATTTCGAAGCTGCAAAATGGTAGAAGACATATAAGAATTAATTGGAGAAAAAACGGTTTAGGAAATTTCAGCAACATGCTACACCTTTCAAATATCAACAAAATATGAAGAATTGAATGTCACTAGAACTGGAAGATACTCTATTTCTTTAATTTCATTCTATTATACCTCTGACAAAAATAAAAATGAATTAAAAAGTTTTTTTTTTAATAGAAAAAAAAAAAAACCTATGCCTTTTCCCAATCCATCCTTCATTTCTTTTGAATTTGTTCAAAAATCAATAGGAAAACAAACAAATCAATAGTGCTCACTGACAGCACCAGCAGTTTTGATCACTCTCTTTTCTTTCTAAGGTTTTGACACACATTTACAGCCTCAACATGTCTCTATGGTCTTACAGCCATCATACACCCTCAAACACCATGATCAACAGAATCTATATTCCGGTTTTTATTGTCAATTGTGGATTACAATTCCTTGTACATAAATGAATTTTGTCTGTATCTTTAGGTTTGAGAAGAAATTTTAAGTGTTAGTGGTTAGATTGATTCTTCTATTTTGCCTTCAAATTAATCAAGTTTAAAGAATTACTGCAAAAACATTTCAGGCTGATCTTGATTGTGTAAGTGATAGAGAGGAGAATTCGAGCTATTGGTCATATGACTCTGCAATGTTTATGACTTGTGGTTAGTGTATGGGGTTTTCAATCTATGCAAATATGGCTTGGAGTAGGTTGCCAGAGTGCTCATACTTTCATTTTGCATGATTTTAAGAGAAGCAACATCATGGGTGAAAGAGGACACTGGTAATGGATCAGGGTTATGGAAGCAGCATTACTTACACCAAGATCTTGAGTCCAGTGATAGTGTCCTTAACACAACAAGACAAATACGTGCTAAAATGAATGAAAGAAAAAGGCACACTTCCTGAAAACAATTTTAAGCAAGAACTGCAATGGTTAACACATTCAAAACTAACTTATACTGACCTCATGGGGTGAGACCTGCTGTGTGTGCAATGGAAAAGGCAACGACCACGAGCTTAACTGAAGGGTATTGAAAAAGAAAGAAAATTAAGAAAAAAATTTGATAGCCAATTTGAAATATACATATCATTTGTCCAAGAATCAGTACCTTGTGGAAAATTTCATCTTCTGGTTTAACATATATCATTTCTTCATCACCATCACTGCTTGACTTTTTCCTCTGATTTACATTTTTAAGCTGTCATTTTAAATAAAAAATCAGAGAGAGACATTTATTTATCGTTAAAATTTAAAATCACATGGTGATTGTACAGTAAGCAAGGTAAGGAAAAATACTTTGTAAACTTTGCTGACTAATAAATAAAACTTGAAACGGAAGGAATTGCATAGCTCCTCTGTTGGCTTCAAAAAGCAAAAGACAAGAATATAGGTTCAGTAGCTTAAAGGTGTTTCTGGTAGGTAAATATATGTATTATCAAACTCACCCATCCCAAAAAAAAAAACATCTTTACCTCATCTTCTGTAGCCCATGAGACTTCATCAAACAGTGCATCATAAAGAGGAGGCAAGAGTTGGGGAGGAAGATTCACCACATGTTGCGAGACCAATAGACCAACATTTTGAGCTTGGTCACCCAAAAGTGATCTCAAGTCACTTATTATATCTTTCTGCTGGCATACCTTAAGAAGGAACTCCTTGACCTCCATAATACATTTATGATCCTAGAAAGAAAGAAGATTAAAACATTTAGAAACATACATCCTATGTTGAGTTGCCAATAACCAGGCAATTACTACCATATAACAGGTCATGTGCTATTAAAAAATTTATCATGTACTAAGATCAATAAAGGCACCACAACAAACATATGTAAAAGAAGTAGCTGAGAGGCTTGAAATAACCAAGTGAAGACAACCAGTTGCAAATCAGGCCCAGATATGCTTCAGGCCCAGATATGCTTCAGGTCCAGCAACTTCCTTCTTCTTATTTATTTATTTGTTTTTTTATTTTTTTATTTTTTGTCAAACCACAACAAACATTTGGTAGGCAAGGCATGCTTAGTAGCCAATTTATCACACTATGATGAGACAAGCAACAAAAAGATATTATTCCCAAGTCCAGTTCAAGGAAGAAGAGGTGCCTTAAGGTAACCCTTTATCAATTTAACTTCACTCTTCAGGTTGCCTTTATCACCTTTTATCAATTTAACTTCACTCTTTGGGTTGCCTTTACCAGATTACATTAAGTAAAGATGAATGCATGCTTCCTACCATGATGTTAGCATAGTTCTATCAAAAAAAGCATGTTAGTTATTGCTATCATGCACATGGGAAGAGGGGAGAAGCAAGGGGAAGGGGACAACGATGTGAAAAACATAAGTTGCTTACCTTATATCTGCCCAAGTTAAGGGCAGTAATGACAGAAAAAAGTCCATCTTCTTCATCATCCTCTATTTTAACAACAGTCCCCACTGTTGTCTGGCCCAATATCAAGTCCACAAAACCACTCAAATCCCATTGCTTATCATCAAGATAAGATTGCAGAAGGGTTTTCACACCATGAAAATCATCAGGTTTTGGATCAAAGAAGGCAAAATCTGCTTGGACAACTCCCTTCAAGGATTGAAAAACAAAAAATCAACAAAAAAGATAGTAATAAAAATATATAAATCTTATTTAATTTATATGCAATGCTCTGAATCAAGTACTTACATCAAATGCTTCTTCCCCTTCAGAAGACTCAGACTGTTCATTCATCCTTTTGGGAGCACGCTCAATAACCCCATTACCTGTAAATGAGAAAAGAAAGAGGATTAACTCCAAAACATCATGAAACTCGAAGTAAACAGCAAGAGGAAAAAGAAAATATTTGTAGCTGGAAAACCTTCAGAATCTTGGTGAGACTTTCTTTGCAGTTTGGACTCCTGCACTTTACACTTAGCCATGTAAGCAGAAGCAACTCGAGCAATAGAACGAGCAAATGGGGAAAACGTCAAAGGCTGGAATTGTGGCGATCTTCTATGCCTACTTCTAGCTGGCTTCCGGGTCATTTTGTTAATCTATGGCAAAACAATAGCATGTCAACTAAACTTACCATACAAAAGGCAATTGCTTTACATACCCTATTGCAAACATAACAGACAATTTTTTCAAATGGTAACCAACCCAACAACCAAGAAGGACCGAAACCGCTAATTTTATAACACACTGGTATAATTACCAAATTGATTAAGCCAAGTGAGTAAGCCGTGTCTCTATCCCTCCTTCTCCGCCAACATTGTCGTACATATCAGCGAGGATAATCTCAAACCCAAAATTTTCAAATTTCACAGTATCAACCTAAATTTCTTATTCCAAAAACGATATGGGCAAGGAACGAAATCAGTCCAACCATACCAATATCCTATCAGCAACTAATTTCATATAACAGCTGACTGCAGTAGCAATCAAAAAACAATAAGCACAGTATAATCAATATCATAAATATGTTGATCACACAGGAAAATCATATCTATATTCTCGTAAGAACTCTAGACAGCTAAAATAAGTAAATTCCAATAATTGTGAACCCAAAAACAGTTGTTTCGGCCAAATAATTTTCATCGCAAGATAAGGAGAAAAACAGACTTGGGAGGGAAAATGGATCAAAAAGAGGTTAGAAGTAAACCGCTTACTAATTGAGTTTTTCGGAGGTGAGATGGGCGGAGGAGAAGCTGACGGAGGACGAGAGACGGTGGAGAAGAGGGAATGTAGAACGCCGGCCACCTAGACGGATGGCAGGGCGGCAGAGAGCGCTGGCGGCTATGCTTCAGTTTAGGGTTTAGCGGGCCCGGGCTTTAGGTCTAGGCTTAGTTTGTTTAATTTGGCAGAGGCCGGGCCCGATTAGATTTTTTAGTCCGAAAAAATGGTATTGAAAGAAGGCCAATTTATCATACACAGCCAGACAGGTTACCATCCTGTGACCCGTGGGCTATGGGAGTTATTAGTTTTTATATATTATATTTATATAAAATTTCAAAATTTTATTATTTTATTTTAAATAATTAAAATTTATTATAATTTTTTAAATAAAAAATTAATTATTTTTAATAAACATACTAAAAATTTTATAAATTTTAATTATAAAAAGTTGAAAAATAATTGATTAAAATTTTTTTTTACTATGATACATAAAACTTGTGTGTAAATTAATTTTAACTCTATAAAACTATTTAATTTATTGTTAATTTACTATTGAGAGCTAGAACACCTTCAATTTCCCAAAAATTTCACTGAACTCTTCAATTTACAAAAACCTCAAAAATAAATTTAAATACAATAAAAATGAGGAGACATGGAATTGGAGGACTACAAATAAGAGTGAGTTTAAATTTTGATACCACCAAACAACTAACTCAATATTTTTAGGACAATTTGCACACATTTTAAATCTAATACTTTTTAAAGTAATTTTAAAAGCATATTTCTCAGTCACCTCACTTTAATGTACTAAAGAATATTAATATTTTTAATAAAAAAAATTATTCTTGAACATGACGTTACTAGTAATAGACAGATGAACTACTTGTCAAGAGCTTGAACTTTTATTGGTGCCAATCCCTTTCATTATAAAAAAAATGTAGTGCATCATCCTAGACTGCACACTAGAGGGATCCAATGAAAGTGCACTTGATTTTAGTGCTTCTTAAGGCTAAAGCAAACCCAACCTTGAGTAGTAAAGAGCTCAGTTTTGTAATTTTCTAGAGTTCACATTTGCATCAATGTCACATGCTCCACTTCTTCTTTGCTCTTCATTTTTCTCTGTCTCTCTCTTTTGAAAAAGGAGTACAACTTATATATATAGTTCATTCAAATTTAAATTGGAATAGCTCTTTTATTCTTTATATTTCTATTTATACTTAATTTTGCAACAAATAGAATGATGTCATATGTCATTCATGTTAATAGGTATTTCATTGGTTGAAAAGTTGTTTTATTGATATAGATCTCTTCTAGATAAAGTTCAGTGGTTATTTCCACAGCATCAACAAAGTCGGTTCACTTATTGCAAATTTCTAAGAGCATAATAAATAGCATCAACATGTTAATTGATTTGTTACATATTTTACACTATTGTTGGTTTTCAAAATGCTACCATAGATCTTCAGGATGCTGCTAAGAGGTGTTTACTGTTATAAATACATAGAGAAAAAACCAAGCAAGATCAACTTACTTCTCGCACAACAAGTTTAGCGTAATTTCTTTTAATACTTATATCAGTGTTTTGAAACCAACCCGGAGGTCAAACCGTTTTGGTTTTTTGGTCTCGGTTTGGTCAGTTTAACCAATTAAACCGTTAAAACCGTTGGTTCAATTAGATATCAATAAATATAATGTTGTACAACAATTGACCAATAGTTCTAGTGGTGTGTTGTCTTGTTAGTCATAATGAGGATGAAGGTTCGAGCTCAAGAGATGTCGAAATTTAAAAAGTTGTCAAAATTGACTTTAAATTAATTAATTAATTAAAATTATCTACATAAATGTCAATTTTTATAATTTTTATATAAATTAATTATAAATAAATATAAAAATTGATATTATTATATTTCTAATTTGTAATATATTAAT